TAAATATATTCAAATTCAAACCAATATAGTCTATGTCTATAACTGTTAAAGTATTTAGTAATTTTGTTTGATTTTATATATTATTTTATATATAATTTTTATATATAATCATATTATATGTCATATGTATACTAATTATATGAATATATAAATATTTGTATTATAATAACATGAAGAGGAAGTTCATTAAAAAAAATGGAGAACTGAAGCATATGATAGAATTATAACCTGACTTTAGAATGAATTACGATTTATTTAACAGAAAATCAAAGACATTTTGCGAGTAAGATATAAAAAAAAAATTATCAGATTTATGGGATGCTTTGAAATGCCAAGCATATCCTATCCTCCATCTGGGAATGACTTTAACAATGCTGTTCTGAATATCAGACATAATCATAGTACCGCTGGAGACAAACATGAACATGATATTTCAGTAAGTAGATTATTACAGAATGGCACTCAAGATTTGTGTAGTCTTACTGAAGGCTACATGCCAGAATACATGCTCAGATTAATTCAATTGTAAACACTATTCATTAAAATGCTACCATACCTAATTCAATTTCTACCAGATGATTAAATTTTAATCACTTTGGTGGAAGCTCAAACAATAGAGGGCAGCATAACTTTTGAAACTGTCAAGTTATTAGAAATAGAGGGTAGCAAACAGAAACAATTATGAGCATCATATCAACTTTGATTTATTCTAATAACAAACTACAGTGCATTTTGTTCCAATGATTTTTTTTTCCTAAAGTGTGTCAGGAAATCCATGAAATGAGAATATCATTCAAATGAATGTAGAAACTAAAACATATATTTCAAATATATATTTTGTTTAACTTTGGTATTTTTAAAATTTATTCTTTATAAATTTCATTTCTTTTCTAGATAGCCACTAAATATACATAAAAATAAATAAATAATTTAAATAAAATTAATTCAAAATAATAATGCAGAAAAAAAGGCTACTTGTACACTCTGCAGGTGGAAAACGGCGCCGCGAACAGCTCTACCAAGAGATGGATACGTGCACCGAATAAGATGACATTATTATTATCTATTATTAGTGAGATCAGTGTTACATCACTACAAATTGTTATCATGTTAAAGGAAAAATGAATAAAATAAATAATAAACAAATAGAAATAAATAAATAAATAAAGATATGATGATGGTGATAATTTTTTGTTAATTATTCAAGATTAAATAATAATTTTAACATGTTAATTGTGATGACATTACTGCACAATGGGTCAGGTATTAGCTGTGGAATTTTGTTAAAAGCAAACTACTCATTTCAAAACTCTTTTGAGCACTTTGAGACTCTGTTAAGTGCTAATCTAAACTACATTACATTATATTATTCAACTTTAGAAATTACAGTAGATACTGTACTATTACTTGAATATCATTTTGATTCAAAGCTTCATTTAGTTTTTCCTTTACATGTGGATATTCTTTGTTTCATAGGCCTATTATGAACTAGCAGTATTAAACTGACAACTTATATATGATGGCTGCTAATACCACACAAAGGGTTAGGTATTAGCCTCAAAGGTGAAACATCTAAATCAGAGGACAGAGAAACATATCGTGAATGGTTACATTTTAACTTAACTGACCTTTTTAAAGTTTTGAAGATATTTGTTTAAATGATATCTACTACAGTAATTCCATAGCATATAATTTGGTAAGCTACTGCTAAATCACGTAATGCAATTAAAGACAAATACAGAATATTTGTTATGCTGTTTGTTGTCCTTAATGTGTCCTTTTTGGGCTGTCTTTTTTTAGTTTCACAAGGGATAACAACCAGAAATTCTTGCAGAGATTAAATCACTTTTAAGCAAAATTCTGTATTTTCAAATTATTTATTTATTAACATTATATATTTATTTTTATTGTTGTTATTCATTGTTGTTATTCATTATTTATTTTAGGTGAAACTTTTAATTATTTTTCCCACTCCATGCTGTAAAGCGCATAGAGGTATTTTACATTATGCACTATATAAATTGACAATTATTATTATTATATTATTATTACTTTCATAAGTGATAAGAACCCTTGGGTGTCGAGGACAGATTAAAGCACTACATGGCAAAATCATTCCAAAAAATTCTCTAGAAAATCACAAGGAAATACTCATCCACATATTCCAAATACAGGTCTCCCTCTAATTTAAGACCACTTTTAGGACTGGGTTTCAATTGTCTTTAGCAGCTTTGGTCTCCTTAATTAGAATAATAAAGATAAAATACTTGTTCATTTGGGACCATAGAAGAATAGTCTTTAATTGGAGGTGGTCTTTAATTGGAGGGGGACCTGTACTCCTGAAAGCTTGTCAGCCATGTCGTAGAGTTATTTCATAAAATTTTCATTCAAATTTCGTAAATGATTATAAACGAAATTACCATTGTTTAAAAATATTGACAAGTATTTGTACTGGGATTTCCTTAAAGCCAAGCAATATCTTGCTCTGCCATTATTGTTGAAGCTGAAATATATAACCAAGTTTAAGTACAAGATTTAGCAGCGCTATTCACATGTAAATAGGAAATGTATATTGGCAATAGACAGAGTAAACCTGATTATACAAGGCATTCAGGGATATAATTATCTCCACATTGGATGTGCATGATTGGAAAGTCAATAATTCCAATCAATTGCAAATTTCAAATGAACATGAAATGTATTTTGGAAATATTTTAACTTTGGAACAGTAAATGTAGGTCAATTTCTAAAAGTAGGTCAGTTAAATGTTCTTTACTACATGGCTATGAAACAAGATATAAAAAATACCCCAATTATTAGCCAAAATATTTAAAATATGGTAGTTCCCGTTATATTTGAGCAATAAGAAATGTGAGAAATACTTTTATGCAGCTTAATACATAATTGAACTGTCAGTCACCAAACTAATAAAGCCATCTCTAGCCTACAGCAATCTTATTCACAAAGAAACAATTTATGAATTAAGATAAATACAAAGCAACAAAAATCAATACCTAAAACTAAAAATTACATCTACTGTAATAATCTGGCATAACAACCAAGCCTG